GGTTTAGGGTTATGTTGGGGTTATGTGGGGTTATATTGGGGTGATATAGGGTTATATTGGGGTCATATAGGGATAATGATGGAAACTTCGCTTTAGGGTTTAGGGTTTAGGGTTTCAGCGCCTGTACTTTTCCGTGAACTGGCATCCTCCTCCTCATCATCGAGGCATACCAGTGCATAGTGGTGCTATGGCGATTCCAGACTGGTGTTTTTTTGTCTCGAATCTTGTAGAAGTACTCCACAACAAGATGGTTCGAGGGGGAAAAGTAACGGATCACAGGGACCGTTCCAGCATTTGAAGGGCAAAAGGTGAGACCATTGATTTACGCGATACCTGTGAATTGCGCATCAGCCAGACTCTGAAGAAGAGTGCCATAATCCCTCTTAAGTAGATAGAATATGGCTTTGGGCCCTTATACCCCATATTCTATCTACTTAAGGGGGGACCATATCCCCAAGCCTTTGAAGGAGCATGCCCAAGATGGCAACGATACACACGTCACGCCAGAGGCCCTGTTGAGCTTGCTGAAAGAGGCTGGGGTGGAGGCTGAAATCCATGGCACCGTGCAGTCAGTGCAGTGGAAGGCCTGCTTTCAGCCCTCCTTCAGGAGAACCAGAAGAATAAGAGACTACGGAAGAAGCTCTACGGCCTCATGCGTCGTGAGAAGGAGAACTTCTCGGAGACTGTCCTGGTGGCCCGATCGATGCAAGAAGACCCTCGGTCTCTCTGAGATGAAAGTTGGGTGCTGGACAGCCATAGTCCCTCTTCAGTAGATAGAATGGCGATCTTATTATAACATACCCAAAGCCATGTTCTGTCTACGTAAAGGGGAACCCTAAACCCTAAAACCTTAATAGTAGTTTCCATTTTCTTTGCCATTATCCCAATATTAACCATTATCCCAATATAACCCCTATATAACCCCTATATTCTATCTAGGACAAATTGCATCTAAGGATCTTTCAAGCTACCTCCACAACCTTACTCACCAGGACACGCAGTCTTTCAAGCCCTTGATTGTGCAGATTCTTTCTCAATTCTTTCAGCATGCCCGGAGTTCTCGTGAGGCGTGGAGAAGGAGGAAGACACACAAACATTCAACTCGGTCAACTCGGTCAACTTCAAATTTGCAGCAGACGCCACTCGGCAATCGTACACAGTCAACGTGGCTTGTTGTCTCTCAAAAGGTTAGCGCAATTACCCACTGATAAAAACCAGATCAACGTAAAGAAGCAGGATATGGATTCTTGTGTCGGGGATGTACCCCAATATACTATAGTGGTTTCCATTTGCTTTTCCACTATCCCAATATAACCCCAATATATCCCTTGTATAACCCCTATATAACCCTTACTGTTGTAGTTTCCATTTGCTCTTCCACTATCCCAATAAAACCCCAACCCTAAACCCTAAACCCTATACTATAGTAGTTTCCATTTGCTTTTCCACTATCCCAATATAACCCCAACCCTAAACCCTAAACCCTATACTATAGTAGTTTCCATTTGCTTTTCCACTATCCCAATATAACCCCAATATATCCCCTATATAACCCTTATTGTAGTAGTTTCCATTTGCTTTTCCACTATCCCAATAAAACCCCAATATATCCCTTGTATAATCCCTATATAACCCTTACTGTTGTAGTTTCCATTTGCTCTTCCACTATCCCAATATATCCCCAATATACATAGCTCACCCGGGCTCTCGAGATGGGGATGTCCTAAAGATCGAGGATCTGTTCAGGGCCTGTGAAAATGCAGAGGACTCGCCATGTCTCCGCATAATTCTTTGTAGTCGGTTCTCGGGAGCACGTTCCAGAAGTGCCACGGAGCATACTATGTCCCAATATAACCTCAAAATACCATAGTAGTTTACATTTTCTTTTCCTTTGTCCCACGAGAACCCCAATATACCTAGCGCGCCCTGAGCGCTAAACTGCTCAGTTCTTGGCTGAGGTCTGCCGATATTGCAGCTGGGCCGGACGAGGCTTACTGCTTTGCATTTCATGGAACCAGTGTCTTAGAAGGTATGGAAGGCATAGACCTTCTTGTCTTCCGGAAGGATCCCTTGGGGTATGATCCCTTGCGGGAAAGTATTCAATGAAGTTGCGCATGAATACACCTTTTTGCTATGCATCCCTAAACCCTAAACCCTAAACCCTAAACTTAAACTCTGCCTGAAGGCTTCGTCGACTTTCCCGGAGTATGCGGCTTGGCACCAACCTGATTTGTGTTATCCAGCCGTCCCACTTTAATCAGAATTGGCCCTAAACCCTAAACCCCAAACCCTACATGACCTTATATAGTAGTTTCCATTTTCTTTTTCCATTATCCCCATACAACCCCAATACAATTTTCATATTACTTACCTCTCAGAATCCTCAGCCCTGAAGACGCAAGGCCGCAACAACTTATTGAGGCTCTTCTCTTCCAGTTGCAATAGTCAGGCGACGGAGCTGAAGACGAACTCCGCCCTGCGAAAGCGACTTGCAGAGTTGGAGAGCTTCTTCAGCGTCCTGGTCTCAGCTGGTTGTGGCTGTTGTGGGGTTCTAGGGGTGTATGAAGTGACCTTCACGGGCACCCTTGCAAGCATGATTGCAGCCGTGCAATTCGCAGGTTCAGAAGAATGAGTGGAAGCAAGCCCTGTCCCAAGCCAACAGCCAACCAGACAATGCTGATGAGCCTGGAGCTGACAGCGCGACAAGTATGCCAAGCCGCCAGATATCTAACAGCAAGGCTCCTCACAGAATTGATAGCGGAAGCACGGCGCACACAGCACCTGAAAGCAGCCNNAAGGCAGCGCACAGCACACGGCAGCTGGCAGTAGCGGATCTCCGCAGAAGCAGCAGGAAAGTGACGGCAGCGCCAGCGCATCCCATAAAGCAGCTGCAAGTAGTGGAGCTCCACATCAGATTGAGGAAGGCGATGAAGGCAGCAGGAGCGCAGCGCACACAGCACCTGAAAGCAGCC